TTGAAATATTTCTAGATTGCATTTTAGAAGTTAATAGCGTAAAGCATATTTCAAATGAGAACTAATTCTGTTAAGTTATTGTTACAGTTATTTTTATTGTATCCTCTGTTATTATTGATTCGATTTTGTGCTAGCTTAGCATTCTAGATAAAATATATATAAAGTATAATATTAAAGTAATTGGCATAAGAAGACCTGCCCCCTTAACCCCCACTTTTGAAAAATTAAATAATTATTTTAGGTACTGTGAGTAAATTTGTTTTGTCTAAGTTAAGATAACAATCTTACATGCATTTATTTAAATGAAATATTGATGTAAGCCTAAGTTACAAAATTATTTTAAAAAAAATATATGTTATTATAATGAATCGGGAGAAAAATATGCTAATGTAAAATTTACAATTAGGCTGAAACTCAAACTTAGATTAGCAGAAATTTTGCCATATATAACCATACACGTTTAAAACTATGCCAATTTAAGGTTGTTTTTTTGATTAATTTTAAATAGCTGTTATTATAGTTATCTTAGCAGTAGTACAGTTCTCTTAGTTAACATTCAGATAAAGAAATTAGCAAACAGGCATTTAAAGAAAAAAAAAAATCCCTGCAAATAAAAAAAGGAACTTTATGCTAAGAGTAGCGCATTTTATCTATTATTTTAAAATTGAGTAAGTACTATTAAATTGCCAATGCCAATGATTTGAAAATTACGGAGTTCCTATGGTTCAAAACCATTTACCTCCTCATCAGAATTACTAAAAGCGAGCAGAAATGAGAAAAAATTTTGCATAAGTGAATTACTTGATGCACACTACAGGGAGCCACTGGCTCAAGAAAGTTTAGGGATAGAGATGAGAAATAAAAACTTAAGAATCATAATATTTTTTTTAAAAGTTTTTTAGGTTTTATAATTTTTTTTTGTATTTTATATTTTATACTTTTTTTTGGTTTTTATAAAATTTTTTATACACAATACAACACTAAAGCAGAAAGCGGAGAGGAAAGATTTTAAGATTAATAGGCTCATTGGCATGTGGCTTGTGTAGGATAGTGCAAATAATAAATATGAGATCGCGTTGAAAATATTCATAGGCATTTTAAAAATCTGCGGGAGATGTGATTCTATGCGAACAGATTGATAACTTTGCTTGAAGATCTTGGTTGCAGGTAGAGATGGTAATAAGCAATTATATGGCAGCTCGCTGAAGAGACGTCCTTCCTTCATGGCGCGGGAGCTGGAACTGATGTTGAGAGGGCGTGTCTTGCCCTTTTAGATGGAGGGTAGATGCCGAACTCTCGGCCAATCACGGCTCTTGGTCTCTTCTGTGAGCTGCGAATAGCAGGATCGTATGCTGGCATCTGCTGAAGTGCTCGGTTATCAATCTGTTCAATTTTGAGGAATAAATTTTGACTATGTTTTTTTTAATATAAGGTAATCAACAGGTTTAATGTTAAGGTCCGAATGAATCACATCTGTACGGACGTACCAAGCTGCGTTTAGGGCCATACGTAAGGTTTTACTTTGAAAAGATTGAAGTTTTTTTCACATGAGTTTTTTGCAGCAGTACCCCAGATTGTACATGCATACATAAAGACAGGTCTTATAATGGATGTATAGAGAAGGATTTTGTTTTTAATTGACAGATTGCTCTTTCGAGCTAAAAATGGGTAAAGTTGGGCTCTGGCACCTTTTGCTTTGTTGAGAACATTTTCAATGTGAAGGCGCCAGGTTAATTTTGAATCAAGTACAACTCCTAGGTACTTGTAAGAGTTTGACCAGGGAACATAGTCGTCAAAGAATTTAATATTAATGGAAGGGTACGGGAGGGGGCTACGTTTGAATATCATAGCAGCACATTTAGCAACATTAATTTTTATTTTCCAAGTGATGAGCCAGTGCTCAAGGCTAGAGAGATAACTCTGAATGTTTTGGACTAAGTTTTCCAGGCGTTTGTGTTGAGCTAGGATGGCCGTATCATCTGCATAAAGTGCAAGAGTGATACTTGGTGATTTTGGTATGTCATTTATGAAAATGTTGAACAAAATTGGGCCTAAAAGTGACCCTTGGGGGACGCCGCTTAGTATAGGACGGGGTGTCGAAATGATAGAATTAACTCGTACAGAAAAAGATCTATTAGTGAGGTACGAATTAATTATATGAATTAAATGGGCCGAAACGTCAAGTCGTATGAGCTTGATAATAATTCCTATATGCCAAGTCCTATCAAATGCTTTGGCTATGTCAAGAAATAAAGCGCCAGTAAGCATTTTGTTACGAAACCCTTCGTGAATGAACTCCACTGTCCTCAGCAGCTGGTGCGTGGTGCAGTGTTTTGCTCGAAATCCAAATTGTTCATCAATCAGAACGTTGTGATTTCGGAGAAAATCATTCAGGCGTTTAAGTAACACAAACTCGTATATCTTAGATAACGAGGATAGGAGGCTGATAGGTCTATAATTTTGAGGGTTAGAAAGGCTTTGGCCTGGTTTTGGAATAGGCACAATAAGTGCTTGTTTCCAGCTTTGAGGAAAATAGCAATGCTGTATCATAAAATTTATAAGCATACTAAGAAAATAAACTTTAGTCGTGTAAATGCATCCATAAATCTTCTAATTTAGCACTTCACACACTCTTTTAAACGTGACTAATTCCTATTTATATCAATTGCTCCCGCCGGCATCATGCAGTCATCCTCTACGCCTGTTTCAGGGAGAAACGCTCTATGAGCTAGCCCTTCTCTTCAGTCCTGACTCGCATGGTGAAATTTTTCCTCAATGCGTGCTGACGAGCTGAGCTCGCTCGTCATTATTATTCTGCATTGATTATGTTACAAAGGAATCCTACTTCAAAATTTAGTTACTTTTACTGTCTAGAGATGGCAGTACGGGTTCCATGAATTTCTTTTCATAATGAAGGGGGACATTTTTTTTTTACTGTGTTCTTTTTATGCGTATTTTGGCGCATTTTTTAGGGTGTTAATAAAGTAAAATAGCAAAAATTAGATAATTATGATGGTGATAGAGAAAGCTTAGTTTTGAGTCCGATGAAGACTTTGTTCACCGTATATCAAGTTCAGAAGATGATTCAAGCGATGAGGAAGATTTTTCGAGTGTACAACAGTGGTGTAAAATTGATTCAAGTTCCCCCACTCCTAGCCGATTTATTTTTACTGGTGATGTGGGCATGAAAGCTTGTGTGACAAATATTTCTGATCCACTAGAGTATTTTGAGTGTTTTTAGGTAACTGCTGTATTTAAATGCTTCATAAAGTTTTACATTAGTTGTATTTATTTAGTCCTTTCAATTTAATACTTGTTTTATATTTATAATTAACTATTATTATTTATATAATTGATTGTAATCATTTATAATTTACTATTTAACAATTATCATTTATTAATTATTTTAAAGCACATAAAAACTGTTATTTATGTACTACCAAATACTTTAAGAAATTTTTGAAACGCGTGAGGCGAGCTATCTACGGCATCGCCAGAGAAGGGCGACATTTTCGGAAGAACTGCAGGGGAAAACAGCTGCCACTTTCGACTACTGTTTACTTGTAATACTGTGCGAATTAAGTAAACGAAAACTGCTCATTTCCCTAATTGTCAAAGGGCCCTTGCATCACTAAGGTATAGTGGGAACTTGGAATAGAGTTCCAGACTGTCAAATAACAAATGTTTCTACTACCCACAACAGGGAAGGAACTTCTCTGCCTAAAAAAATTATTTGTCATCATTTTTAATATAAATATTTATGACTCATTGTTGATATCTTTCAAATGCCTTTTCTATTATAACACCTGTGCTTAGCACACTTTCCAAACACTACTCAATGGGCCTGGATATTGGTCTTAACTGTAAAATTGACACAAAAAAGAATCCAAAGGCAAATCAGGCACAGCAAAAAATATCTGATAACCCAACCTTCAAAAATGAACAGTTTCCATTTTAGATAATAATACAGTAAAAGTCGTTAATTCGGACACCCATAATCCGGAATGATCTATAATACGGACCTCAAAGCTACAAACTTTCTACGCACGCGCGTAAGACCTTTACCGCTGCGAATTTGCGTGTGCGCGTTCGCAAAATACGTTTACGAATGCTCGTTTAATGTATAACGGACGGGATAAGCTAAGCTAAAATTATCTAATTATCTATTTCAGTTAATGTTGCAGATTGCGTTGTTCCTTAATCTTCGAATTGGATCCGGATTATTATTTTTTGCAGACTGTTAGAGCAATTTTATAAAAGTAAGCTTGAACTTTTGATTATGTCAAACAGAATTTCGGATATATATTTACTAATATGTAAACATATACAAAGCGAAAGTATCTTTCGGAGTCCATTAAACAAAAAGTGGAATTGCTGCAAAAAATCAATAAAGGCATATCCTTTGTTTATCTAAACTTTAACATTTGTTTATCTAAACTTTGTTTATCTTTAACCCCGTGGTGGTGTGCAATGAATTGGAAGTTGATTTGTCAGCACTATCCTTATCTTAAGGGCAGATGTTTTTATTTTATTTGGCTTATAATTGCTTATTCAATGTAGTATTTCATCTCGATATACTCCATCTTTGATATGATTTAAATCAAATGCCTTGTCATTATAATTATTAATTTATTAAGCACATAAAATAAAAATATACTAACTTGTGAGATAACAGGCTACTATTATTTTGTGAGAAAGAACACAAATTTTGGCAAAATATTTTTGCTGCTACAGAAAAAAACTGTGTCTGATCTCTACACAACTGATAAACTTTTATTCAAAATCTATGCCAAATAAAAGTTGCACTTTAAATGTAAATATGATAAAGATAACTTTTAATGCATAGAAAAATTTTTAATGAAGGTGGAATAATGTCAACTCCAAAATGCAAATACCTGAATTACATTTTACGACTAATATTCGAGAAAAAAGGAGAAAAAGATAATTAAAATAAAATATTCAAAATGTTAGCCAAAGATGATGACTAAACACTTTCTTACCTTTGCAGTTACGGATTCATTTTTTTGACATGGCCAGTCTATATAACTTACAGATTTCTCAACAGCATTCATGAGTATGTGAAGCTTGAAATAATGCTGAACAGATTCACTGAGTATACTATGAGTCTAAAAGAAAAATTAATTTATAATTAAAAGTAATTTTATTTCTACAAAAAAATTGGCTTAAAAAGAAACAATTCTGAGAACAAATCTTCAGATTACTTTTTAGGAACATAGAGTTCTCACTAAATAATGCGAAAAGTGTATCAAAATATGAGGAGATTATATTAGAAGAAAAGAAAAAGAACCATGAAAATGTTCTCTTTCTTTTAGAAGTATAGCAGGCCTGATATGTTTGGACTTCCCTAAGTAAGATATGAAGATCTAACATCTGATCTCAGATCCATAGCTTTTTCTACTGACTGGTTTCATCATAACAAAAAGTTAAATGGGTTAGCCTATATTTTAGGGTGCCCCTTGGATTATCACTAAATTGTTGTTTCATTTATGGTAACCTGAGTAGTTGAATGTTATGGATACCCTATTATAACAAGATTACAGTGAATCTGACTGATGGGAAAATATTTGTAAGAGCTTATTTCTCTATTGGATGTCAGATAGGAACTACGTTGTGTATTGTGTGCTTTGTATCGTAAAATGGCTGCAAGAGGTAAACTGGGTGTTTGATGGTATAGAACGAGAGAGAGAAAGAAGAAAAGAAACGTTGTTGGATGTAATTCAACGGAATTATAAGTGTCCTGTTTGTACAAAGGAAATGCGTATGGTTGAATGTAAAGATCTTTCAGATGGCTTTGAATGGGTTTTCACAAGAAAGGTTCAAATGCTCACCATATCAAGTGTTCCATTAGAAAGGGTTTGAGGAAAATTTTTTGATGCTGTTAGGAATTTTGTGTGCCACAGACTGAAGACACAGAAATTTCTAAATAAGGTAAGTGGATATTTCCTTTGTGTAGTGCACAGATGCAATATTTCCTTTTTAATGTTATTTCATTGTTTGATTTAAAATGCAGTTTATTGAGATTATATATTTTTGGTTTGGCTTTAGTGTAGAATTGGGTGCTTCTTCGATTCTTAAGTGAAAATAGATCGATGTGTACATGGCCAAAGTCAAGTCAGTGCGCATTGTCGAATTTGTGCAATTATCTGATGTTATCTGATGTGAAGTGAAAATAGATCATGTATACATGAACATTGAGTTTGTGTAATTCTTTGACTTTTTATTTTGGTTTTGTGTAGAAGCCATCTGGAAATTGTGCCTCGCTGGCCAATTGCCCAGGGGCACCCTTAAATATATTTTTACCATTAAATGTTGGATTAAAAATATAAAAAATTACAATATTTAAAAAAAATCTTAAAAATTCTACACTGTTTCAAAGATCCATTTTCATGCTAAATATGCAAAGAATACTCACTAAGATTTTTTCTTTCTGCAATGATTTGCAAATAAGATTAGGTCCCAGTTTCTCAATCACTTTCATAAAAAATTTCTGATTTTGGGAGCCTTCTTCAAACTGTGATATCTGATTTTTAAAACTGTCCATCATTAATTCTTTTGGAACTAAAAGAGATAAATATCAAGTTTATCAAATATGTTTTTGAAAATAGAATTTTTTTTATCTAAAAAAATTGAGCAAATGATTACTCAAAATTGACGCTAAAATATATGTAACAATTAAGTAATTTAAATCTTAATTTTATATACATCAAAAGCAACTATTCTGTTATACAACAATATTTCCAAAGTTTTAGCAAAATTTCAAGTATTATCTGATAGGAAAAAATTAATTTTTTCTCTGGTGTCATTCACAATCTCTGTAGTTAATATATTTGATAAAATCAAATGATTAAGATTTTAATATATGGATTACAAGTTATACGCAGTTTCGATATGAAACTTACAATATAATGGACAGAACACACAGATATACAGCGTAAGGCAATACAGATACAATACAATTTACAGATTTAAAATAAAGTCAATGTGTTATTTCATGTAATAGAGGAAAATGGTGAAAATTCTTCTTTTAATACAAAAAGTCAAATACCTAAGATTAGATCATTAATCAAGACAGCATTGGAGATGCAGATAGCTAATTACTGTTCTAGCATGGGCAGTTGTATATCAGTATAATAACATTTTGCAAGGCTGCAAGACTAGCAAAATGTTATTTTAATATTGCCCTGATGCCCTCAGCTGTGGGAGAGTGACGTAAATACCTGATTATAATGGGAAACACCCAGAAGAGGAAACCTAGAATGACTTGCAGTGGCACTAACATAGCAACATTAATAATGATAGTAGAAGCATTTGCTTACAACTCATGAAAAAAAGCAATTTAGTAAGCCTGGTTGGCACTGTTCTTCAGTTTGAAGGACTGGCTTCACATTCACACTGCTTAATTTCCTGTAGCAGTATACTGTAATTTCATGTTGTGATCAAACAGGTAGACAATATTTCTGACTCACCCGGTATATAAAAAGTATTTTTTATTAATTTATGTAATAAAACATCCAGTGCATGATTTCTCCAAAAAATTCTTGATGATCATTACAATACACACATTTAGAATTAATAGTTCTTCTATTCAAACAATAAAATATATACTGTTTGATTGGACTGATTGGTTAGAGTAGATTGAAGGGTGACCCTTTTCATTTATGGTAACCTGAGTAGTTGAATGTTATGGAAATGCTGTTATGACGTAATTGGTTGTGTGATTGCAGTCACTTTGAATGATGGGAAAAGGCATGGAAACTGTGTATTGGATTTGTGATAAGAAGTACGTTGTTATTTTGTGGTTTACACTGTAAAAAGTCTGAATGTAGTAAGATTAATTTGAAGTTTCTGTACGATTTGGAACAAAAGGGGAAAAGTGCAATAAGTGACAGGTATGTAAATGAAGGTTTACTTAGTAGCCATTATATCGTCCTGCTTGTAGAAAGGAATTGCGTATGGTTGAACATTGGATGCTACCAGGACTACGGGGGATATTTTTATTTTTGTGAATTTATGCGGCAACGCCAATATACGGATTCTAATTCAAATAATTTTAGAAAGTTTTTGTACACAGTTAAGAAATTTTGTGTGCCACAGACTGAAGGACCCAGAAATTTCTAAATAAGGTAAGTGGATATTTGCTTTGTGTAGTGCTTAAATGCATAAGATGAATTTCCTTTTATATGATATTTTATTGTTTGATTTAAAATGTAATTTATTGAGATTATGTATTTTTTCTTTGGCTCTACTGTAGAATTAGGTGCTCCTTTGACTTTTTAGTGAAAATTGATTAATGTGTACATGGTCAAAGTGAAAGGAGTGCGTAATGCCAAGTTTGTGCAATTCTCTGATGCTTTTTTAAGTGAAAATAGGTTGATGTGTACGTGGATACAGAGAACTGCACAAAGTCGGTATCCATGTACTGCCAAAAATCGGCAATTTTCGCCAAAGGGCACTTGTGTAAATATATTTTTACCAACTGATTTATATGTATTTGTTTTTCTGTAAATGAACACACAGTGACTTGGTAATGCCATAATAAATCAGAATTAAATCATGTTACAATTATAGAAATATCAATTTAAGAGAAAATAGGACCAAATTTACAACCAGTATATTCAATAAAAGAGTAATCGTTAACGACATTGTATTTCAGGGGTAAAAAAAAAAAAAAAAAAACCTTCTTCTTCTAACTATAATGCACTCCTCTTAGAAAATTGGTATTGGGCCTTGGGCCAAGAATTCTGAGAAAGCATAGATCTTTATTAGAATATAACGTCTTTGAAGCATGGGACACTTAAAATATTACTGGATCAAAGTTCTCTCAAGATGTTAGTTACAACAACAAAGTGGGGAAAGATCTTCAGATCTGTCTGCTGGAATTCCATCAAAGTAGGATGCAGTTTCCCCTTTTGGTACTCTTCTGTTATCAGGACCAGATTTTAAAATGTATGTATGTATGCATGTGTGTACAAACATACACACGCATAAAAAAAATGGGGCAGTTCTACATCTCCCATTCTACTGGGCCGATTGATGAAATTCAACTTGTGCTTTTCATGTTTCAAAAGCATGAGTTAGGATCTGCATTACATTTAGATATAGCAATATTCTAATATAGGTATTTTGACACAAAATCGGAATTTCTCTGAAATGACATGCCAATTTTTTTCCATATTTCGATTCTACGACTCAAGTTATGCCAAACTACCAAATTTTGTAAAAAAATGCTTGAGTAGTTTTTTAAAAATTGGCTCTCAAAACTTTAGCTCCTTCATGTTGATTCAATTTCGTATATATTCATTAATCTCTCTTTTTTTATTAAACTTATTTGATTCTTCCTTTTCCATTTTAAAATTTAGGTTCATTCCAAATAAAATTCACCCATTTTTTACAATTCATTTATTATTGTATTTTTAACTAATTCTTACAAATTTTTCAAAAGAAATTTTGAATTACAATCTATAAAATTTTTACCGTCATCTTAAAGTAGATGTGTTTCTAAGCATACCTGCAAAAAATGAGAGTTTTTTATTCAAACTTTTCGAAGATATATGTGAATTTATATATTGGTGTGTTCTGAAATTTGGCATATTTGTTGAAAGCGATAATAACATCAAATGTAGTTTAGGCACTTTGTTAAAATTATTTGAAAGTAGAAACGATGCAACTTTTTTTTTCCTCTTAAAAAGGAAAACGAAAATAGGTTGCCATATATTAAGAAGTTCACCAAGTGAATATTCTGACGCAAACTGAAAAAATTTTGCCAACATAAATTTTTGAATTTATCTGTAAATTTTGCACCAAATTTTACAAAATTTAATATTTAGGCATAATTTGAGTCATAGAATCGAAATATATATATAAAAAAGGCATGTTATTGCAGAAAAGTCTGATTTTGTCCAAAATACCTATATTATTAGAACAATGCTTTATATAAATATAATACATATCCTAAGTCGAGCTCTCGAGACATGAAAAACACAATTTGAATCTCGTCAATTGGCCCAGTAGAACGAGAGATATAGGATTGCCTCCCGCTTTTTTGTAACACAATGTACATATATAAATGTATGCATGAACACATATAAATGCATGCATCCATACATGTATGTATGCATACATAAATACATTTCCAAATCTGATTCCGATAATAGAAGAGTATCTCCTTTCCTTACAAATCAGTTAATCAGTTGTCCCTGCGGTTAACTTTCTCTGTGATGAGTTACCTAAATGACAAATGTGTTCGGCCATAATTTCCAATGAGTGCTTCAGCAGCACATGTTTAGTCATTAGGAAAAAAAACTTCAACTAAAGTCATCTTAAGTAAAGTTTAATTTTTATGTATGAAAAAGAAGACATCTTATTATATATCATTATGTATTATTTTTCACATACAAAAAATCATTTAAATTTTGATTATACATATATATATATATTCTTCTTTAATGTTTTAAAGAATTACCATCTGATGACTCTACCAGAAGTATTAAAGTATGAATTAATTTGCAATTATTATAGTGCATTTAAAAAAAAAATGGGTTTAATCCTAGTATACAGTGCACATGGGATTTGACGACATTCGGAAGGCCGTTGTTTATGATGAGTAGTAAACATGTAATTTTGGTGTTGATAAAAATTTTCAAAATTGTGCCAAAGCTCTACCATGTACTAGAATTTTACCAAAAAATTTATTCCTTATTTTTAATTACTCTTTAACTTTGTTTTAATTTCTTAATATGCTAATTGTTTACTTATTTTATAGTTTCCATTACAATAGTTTCTTACACTTTCCAAGATTTCCAATATGACCAAACGGTATAAATAATAAATATTTAGCTACTTCTGCACATCCCATGGCATTTCACCAATACCTATGCGATTTACAGAAACTGCTATCACTTATTTATACCGGTTGGTCATATTAAGCTCATATTCTATAATTTCTGCATTGTATATTATCCTCAGAACTTGCTAACGGCATCTAGTTATAGCTGTCACCCAAACTTAAATACTGCAGAATGTTAAAATTAAACTGACTTTTGCAACTATTAATTACATTCTGATATAAGTTTTATTCATAGTACTATTAAATTTTACTTTAAAATCATGAATAAAGAATTTCCTGTTATTCTGTCGATAATAACAACAAACAAAAGTACTTACAACATTTAAATTAAAATGAATATTTACTTAAAAAAATTTGACAGGAAAATATCAAATTTTTCATCACCTGAACATTAAGAAATTTAGCTTCAAGGATGACTTAACTATATGCTATAACTAGATATAGGATGATTTAACTATAGCTAAAATTCCACTATATACATATAAATTTAAGATCATATTTAGATTTGTTCATTATAATAAATGATTTATAATGGAAACCTGCACTTCGAAGGGAAGATATCGTCAAGTAAAACAGACTGTTACAATAAATATGAAATAATCATACTGCTAACAAATTTTTTATAAGATTATAAACCGCAAAACAATTACTCGGAATTTCATTTCTTAACACAGAGTAGTGAAACAGTTGACGAAACAAGCAAAATTATATTGCATCACAGAAAAGTCTCTGCATACATCCAAAATATATACGTACTTGCCAATTCTAAAACAATTTTGTCTGTATTCCAGCAAATAACAGATTCCTTGAGTTCTGTATTTGAAACAATATAAAAATGTTATAAGCAAAATAGCATAGCTGTTAGTAAACACGAATTTTCCCGCGAAATGTTTAACGATAACGGTTCCAGTGCTCTGATACGCCATCAAGTGGCTCTTCTAACCTCTTTCTTGGATCAGATAAAATTCGAAATGTTGTCTAAAATTACATTTCTTTGCTTACCTCCGACCTGCCTTTACTTCGTCCAGTTCACACTGTCATGTGCCCTTGTGATATATTCATCAGCGAGCAGGACACGTCGGAGTTCGCGCGATATCCCTGCCATACCCACATTAATTGATTGATTGAAATTACATTTTCTAAGTGGCAACAGCTGTGTAAGCTTGCTATCCCTCTCGATTTAAATTAACAAAATGTAATGCTAACATAGTTTAATTAAAATATAAGAAACCTTCATGTAACCGTTTATGACAGCCTTTTTCTTTATTTAATGCAATAGGTAAAAATTATGTAATACAGGAAGTATTTTCATTATATTATTGAATATACGAACGATTTTAGTTAAGTATGTGTATTTAGTATATGTGCATATGTTATGTGTTTGTTAGTGTTATTCGTGTGATTCATTATTAACTTTTGCATTCCTCTGTTTTATTTACAGAGTAAAATAAAATGATATGATTAATATTTTGGTATGAGAAAAGTTAGCAGAATGGAAGTACAAAATGGAGGTGTGTAGTGATTTTCATATATGGTAACTTGGAAATTTAATTTTACGCTATAGAACATATCCATTTACTTCATATTTATTAAATTACAGATGTGTGAAAAAAACATGAAGTTTATTCAGAAATTAATCAAATTTTGGAGAGCAACAAAACCTTTTCTTTAAAAGCGTCTATTTTTTTATGTGTAATCAATCGTAGGCCCTCTAATTTAATTATCTAAAATCCGAAATCACTTAATTCTTGATGATTGTGGATTTCTGACTGTGTACTCCAATGTATTATAAAAGTGGATACCACATGAACCTTTGGCGACATTTGAAATTTTTGCACAGTTGCTGATGACTGGCCAAATCTTTTAAAGTAAAATGCCGAAAATGAATTAAATAAGCTGTTTTAAATAACTATTTTGTATGCATGTTATTTCTTAATTCTATAATTCGGCATAAATTTGGACTGAAATAAGTACATATATATATAATTAAAAAAAATATATTAAGTATTTAAATTATTTTGTTGATTTGATGAAAAAGGCATGAATTGAATTTGGCATTTGATCAAAATTGTGTTCAGTGTAATATATCTGTCCCATAATCATTCAATAAGAAGCCTAATTTAATCTAATGGCCAGCATTTTTTCATACATTTCATTAGTAATATAAATTTTGTCAATTCATTTAAATGCATTGTAGATTATTTTCACTTTTAAGAAAGCCTGTATTTTAGTAATTTTAGACTCCTTTTTGGAACAAATTCTAAAAGGCTGTCTACATAGCATTTATTTTATTAATAAATAATGTTACAGTTTTCAAAATATTTTTGTCAATTATGTACTAAGTTGCTTTTTCCAATTTTCCAGCTAAAGAAAACATTCACATTATGCAAGTACCTACTTCTCCTAACTTTTTAAGACCAAAACCAATTAAACTAAGAAAGAAGATAAAAAGAACGCTTACACCTGCACCTTTAACTGAAGTAAATGTTAACAAAAATGAAATTGGATTTTTATTGAAGTCATCCAAAACATATGTAAATCCCTTTAGGTAAGTAAATTAAAATTGTTTAAAATATGATGTAATGCTTCACTGATTATTCAGTGAAATTGTTTTTTTATGGAAATACCTTCTGCAAATGGTGTGATTATAATTGTTAGCAAATCCATAATATATACTTATATTATATACATGTATATAATTTAGAAACAGTTTAATGAGTGAAATTAAGGACTTTCATTCTAAAAATTAGTTTATCTCATATACTAAGCTATGAATAATTAAATTGCAGTTGGTCATGAATGTTATGAATTTTTTTTTTTTTTAATTATCAGAAAATTCAATTTATTTTCTATTGCTTAATCTTGCATGGCATATATCTCCAACTAAAGCATTCTGTGTTGGAAATTTATTGATTTTATGTTTACTGAATAATCTTTATCTCTAATGCCAGCGTGACAAATCTTTATTTATTATTTTTTGTTTTCATTACTACATGACTATTAACATGTGGCAACTTGAGAAATGACTCATGCAGAGATGTCTAAACTTTTTTTTTTTTTAATTAAATGCCAAAGAGCATGCAACTTTTATGTTGACATTACACTTGGTGATGATTACAGGCTTCAGTTAACTGTGCTGCAAAGTAATGGGTGTGTTGACGAGAAGAAATCTAACAGAAATTTCTTTCTGTATGTGAAAAATCGATTTTATAAATGATACTAATTGGCCAAAAGATTACATTAGTGCTATTTGAATTGAGAATAACAGATTAGTTATTCATATAAGCCTAGGACTGGTACCAGAGCTGGTGCAGCCAAGCCAGACAACAGAATTTAGAAAAGGCAAGATTTTTAGGATTTAGAGAAGCACCGAGCAACAAAATTAAGAGATGGCAACATCTTTAAAATTTACTGAAGGTACTGGGACACAAATTTTTTAGAAATTAGAAAGGCGCTTGGCAGCAGAATGAAGAGACTGCACGGGGCTGCAAAATGTCTAGCGCCAGCCTTGGATAAATGTTTAAGCCTTGTACATGTAGGAATTTATTTATTCCAGACTCAGATAAGCCTTAAATATGTGCGAGAAATAAGCATTAGTATAATAAATAATTAATATAATTCAGGCTTAACTTAGCATGTGATAGAAGCAATATAAAGTTTAGTTAAACAATGTATCTTAGTCACCAACCTCATGATATATCAGCAGTAGTGTAGTGTAATTGCTAGCTAAGCTTTATGTTGATAATTGAATGTTTTTAGATATCACAATTGAAAAGCATTTGTCAGTTAATGGAATTTATGAAGAAATGTGGTCATAAATGCAGATGATATAACAGAATTTTTTTTTTGCGATCACAGTGCTGCAATCATCAGTCAACTAATGGACAGCGAAATCTGTTGTATGGCGCTAAATCCAGAAACTATCGCTGTCATCAGTGTAGAAAGGGCTATAGAAGTTGTTAAAAATGAAAGAAATTTGTTTGACAGTTTAGTGAGAATTTTTGACATGGTAAATTACAGGACTTGGAAGAATGGAACTTCATAACTGAACAATTATATCTTTCTATGGAATTAAAGAGAAAGTATTAACACAAGAAGCAAGGCAGCTTAAGCAATTTAGGTACAACTCTAATATACGCCCTAATTTCACCAAATGTGGCGATATGTGTTCTGTGCTGGTTTTTGGCGCGATTGCGTGTTCTATGGCAACCCTGTTGACGTTGAAAAATCTTTCGCTGGAGCTTGTTGGTTCGCCTCTGTGTCTGAGAAGATGGGAGGGAAAGATAAATTGGTAGTTGTTGAATTGAAGTTCGGGAAAAGGAAATATGATTGTTGGCTATCCTGTTGAGAGGTAGTGGGTATTTGGAAGTGTGGAAAGAGGGTCTGGGAGATTATTTTTAATGGCAGTGCATGATAGAAGTAGGGATTTGTGATTTTATTTATTTGTGAACCATAGTATAAATTTTCTGGATAGTGTGGTCTGGCTGTCATGTAAATACGATAGTGATTACGTGGCGGCATGTTAAAGGCGGTATGAAATTTATATTTCTGCTATTCGAAAACGCATTAATTCATGGTAAGTGCATTTTATTTTATCCTTGTTCTTATTTTGTAGAATGCTATGTTCATTGGTTCTTTAGTATGAATTTCTGTCGTTATTGTTTTTTTTTTTTTTTAAATTGTTTGAAATTTATTTTAGTTTATTTTGTTGTTTAGTGTCTAGACTACAATTCGTAGATGTTTTTTAAAGTTGAAACAGAACGCTGTGTACATGGTATTATTTGAAATTTATTGCTGTTATGTTATTTTGGTTGAACTTTACAATATGGTAACTGGTAGTTTGGCGACATTTTGGAGGCGATAAAGGTTACTACCTGGGACTTTGGTAATAATGTGAGCAATACTCAGTTCCGATTACGCATTATTTTGCATGAGGGAAATGAGAGATCATGGGATATGTCATGTGATATTAATGGACGAATTACGGTTCTTTAATCGGAAAAGGGGGGAAATCGGAAAAAAATGTGGAAATTTTGTATTTTAGCTTTATTCTGTGTTGTGTGAAACGGTGTTGTTTAATTTTTGGATCCCGTGGCCGTAACTAAAGTGAATTCGAAATGGGTATTTAGGCATTGTGATAAAGAGAAGTTTGCTTTTTATTTAGCGGAGGAAGTATAAAGGAAAAATTCGCAGAAAAAATCTTTCAGTAATTTTATTGAATGAATTAGAAAAGTGTATCCGCCACGTAATCAAGATTCTGAAGAAGATTAGGTAAGTTAGTATTTTTAATTATTTGAGGATATTATTTTATGCATTGTTCTAATTGTAAGGTGGACAGGAATTTGGTATTATTCGGAAAATTGTTATTAGCAATGATTTAGTTTAAAGTAATTAGGATTGTAAGGTAATTTTTATTAATTTAATGTATGTGCTCATTTATATTTTAAGTAGTGTTTTTGAATTTAATTATATTTTAATGAAATGATAGTTATTTTGTGAATTTTATGTTTGTAGGAATTTTGTATACGTTTAAGTTGAAATAAACGTGCATGGAAATAATTTAAATATTTGATACTAAGTATTTGTAATGCTTGCAGTATGAATTCGTTGGTGACGTTTATAATATAATAGATGATTTAGAGGTAAAAGTTTTTGGATATTTTATTTATTTTATATGTTTTTATTTTTTTTATTTTTTTTTTTTGGAAATGTTCATATTTGTAAAGAGTAAATACTTTTTTTTCGCGATCAGGTAATTTCATATATGTTCTTTTTACCGGGTTTAAAGATTGAGAAAATTGTCATGTATTTTCGTGAAATTTTTGTAATTTATGAGGAAAAAGCAGCGTACATGGATATAGTGAAGAGTGTGCGCAATGCCATTTTTGTGCAATTCTGGGATGTTTTTTTTAAGTAAAAATAAGTCGGCGTGTACATGGTTTATGTGTATGTGTTATTTTGAAAAACGCGTAAGGAGTATGGTATTGTGCACTTTTTCCCAATTTTGCAGTGAATATTTGTCATGATTAAGCAGTTTTGTTTGATAAAATTTATAGCATAAGTGTAATTCGGCTAGTAGATTGTTGGAAGAAGTGTTCAGTAGATAAAAAGAAAAGAAACATGTCTTTACTTCGTGAAGACAAAATGACGGTGGGGAAAAAAATAGAGGGTTGCTGTAGGAGAGTTGGTTGCCAAAAAATCGCCAAGTTACCATAATGTAAAGATCAACCGTTATTTTATTAAAGCGAGGAGTGCGTAGATCGTAGATTCCTTCCTTGCCTAAATTGTGCAATTTGTAGAATTTTTTTAAAGTTTAAACAGGATGCTGTGTACATGGTATTCTTTGAAATTTTGTTGTTGTTATGTTAATTTATTAAAGCGAGGTGTGCGTAGTTTGTAGATTCGTTCGTCGCCTACATTGTGCAATTCGTAGATTTTTTTAAGTTAAAACATGTCGCTGTGTACATGGATTCTTGTCAAATATTTTTGGTTAGAAACTTTACGTTTTTGCTATCTAAATTTTTTGTTTTTGTTTCAGATTTTTAGCTAAATTGTGTGTTCAAAACGTTTTTGCATGTGCGAAAACCGCGTTTTTGGAGACATTTTAGGCTAAAAGTTCAAAATGTAAACAAAAAATTTAGATAGTAATATGGCATCGTGAAGTATCTCGCCAAAAACATTTGGCGACTTGAGGGCGCATATCAGAGTAGTTCCGCAATTTATATTGAAAAAATATGAGTTGTTTAATAAAGCAAACAAAAATAAATGTTAAGCCCTTTTTGTTGTTGTTGTTGATTTCATTTTCCCTAAAATTGTAAATTCATAATTTCATATTCTTAATTTCATAGATTTAACTGGTCTCCTACATGATATGATATAAACTGATGATCTAATATTTGGGAAAGTCCCAGATCAGAATCAACGACGAGTCTGAATCTTGGATTTTGTAATACAGTAGAAGTCCAGAAATCCGCAATGCTTGGGACCAGAGATTGTTATGATTTTGCAGATTTCAGGACAGAAAACATAATATTCAGACTAAAAGTGCAAAATAAATAAGGTGTATTAGATACACTTAATTAAATTATTATATGCATTAATACAATAATTAATTATATGCATTAAATTATTATTACATATATAAACTGATTATATTATATTGTTCATTTACATTAGGTCCTCTATTTTTAAATCAGCATGAATCCCCTTTTCTCTCAGGAGTAGTCCTGAAATAGGTACCCCATCACTCCGCCACTGCCGAAAACACTCGTACAAGACAGCATCGAGGTTTGCTGATTTTGCCTCATGTAAAGATTTCTGGTTTCGGATTACAGTGTTAGAATCACTGTTGCTGTAAAATTTCAACAGCTTTTCTTTATTCTTCTGTATATCATACACAGTCCATGTGGCAATTCCATACGATTCTGCTATAAACCAAGCAGTAGCACCTGCCTCCATCTTTAGCAGAATTTCCACTTTGTTCATTACCGTCGATGCAAAGTGTTTGCATTTTTCAGTGTTGCAATCAGTAAAATCATGAGTGCGTTT